CGGAGCCGACGTAAACAGGTCCTTCAGTCTCCCAAAGGCCCTGTCCGCATCAGCTGACCACTGCAGGCGCACCGGACCCCCTTTCAGAAGGGACGTGATGGGAGCTGCCACCTGTCCAAAACCCCGGATAAACCTCCGGTAGTAATTCGCAAAGCCCAAGAACTGCTGCACCTCTTTTACAGTGGTTGGGGTTTGCCAATTACGCACAGCGGACACACGATCCACCTCCATTCTCACCCCTGACGCGGACAACCGATAACCCAAAAAGGAGACCGACTCCTGGAAAAACAGACATTTCTCTGCCTTGACATAGAGGTCGTGCTCCAACAGCCTCCTCAATACATGACGCACCAGGGTTACATGCTCGGCTCGGGTAGACGAGTACACCAGAATATCATCAATGTACACGACCACCCCTTGTCCCTGCATATCCCGGAAAATGTAATCTACGAAGGATTGGAAGACTGATGGAGCATTCATCAACCCATATGGCATGACAAGATACTCAAAATGACCTGACGTGGTACTAAACGCTGTCTTCCATTCGTCGCCCTCCCTAATGCGCACCAAGTTATACGCGCTCCTGAGATCCAATTTTGTGAAAAACCGCGCTCCATGCAATGACTCCGTCATGGTCGCAATCAGAGGGAGTGGGTAACTGTATTTCACAGTAATCTGATTGAGACCACGGTAATCAATGCACGGGCGCAACCCTCCATCTTTCTTCTTCACAAAAAAGAAGCTTGAGGAGGCGGGAGAAGTGGAAGGCCGAATGTATCCCTGTCTCAAAGATTCGGCTATGTAAGTCTCCATAGCTTTTCTCTCCTCTTGAGACAAAGGATACACATGGCTCCGTGGGAGCGCTGCTCCTGCCTGGAGATCAATCGCACAATCCCCCTGTCTATGAGGAGGCAACTGCGTCGCCCTAGTTTTACTAAACACGAGAGCTAAATCCCCATACTCAGGCGGAATGTGCAGTGCGGGCACTTGGTTTGGACTTTCCACCGAAGTCGCCCCCACGGAAACACCCAGACATCGCCCCTCGCACTGAGCAGACCACCCATCGAGAGCCCTCTGTTGCCACGAAATAGCAGGGTTATGGGTGCTTAACCAGGGAATTCCCAGCACCACTGGGTACGCAGGAGAGTCGATCAGATACAGCTGTATAGTCTCTTCATGACCCCCCCTGCGCACACATCCTAAGTGGCGCTGTGATCTCCCTAATCAACCCCGACCCCAACGGGCGGCTATCTAAGGCATGAACGGGAAAAGGTTTGTCAATAGGTAGGAGAGGGATCCCTAAATCTAAACAAAACTTCCGATCAACAAAATTCCCAGCTGCGCCTGAATCTACTAGCGCCTTATGCTGGGAATGAGGTGCAACCTGTGGGAAACACACAGGTATACAAAAGTGCGCAACAGAAAGCTCTGGGTAAGTGGGACGTCTACTCACCTGGGAGGCCCCCCCAGTGCGTGGCCTGTTGTCTTCTCCCCCGGAGAACCCTCCCCAGCACCTGGCCGCAGTGTGCCCTCCACGACCGCACTTGGTGCAGGAGACAGGCCCCCTCGGGCTCCTCCTCCTCCTTTGTCTAGCGCCGGCATCCCCGAGCTCCATAGGGCTCGGCTCGGAGGTGCCGAAGGGCGGAATGGACGGACCCCCCTCGGGACGTCCACGGGTGGCCAGCAGGGTGTCCAGACGGATGGACATATCGACCAACTGGTCGAAGGTAAGATGGGTATCCCTGCAGGCCAACTCACGTTGAACGTCCTCCCGTAGGCTACATCGAAAATGGTCGATGAGGGCCCGTTCATTCCACCCTGCGTCCGCCGCTAGAGTCCGGAACTCTAGAGCAAACGCCTGTGCGCTCCTCCTCCCCTGTCTCAGGTGGACTAGACGCTCCCCCGCCGCTTTGCCCTCAGGTGGATGGTCGAACACGGCCTTGAAGCGACGGGAGAACTCGGCGTAGGAGATGGTGTTGGCGTCCATCTTCCTCCACTCGGCGTTAGCCCACTCCAACGCCTTGCCCGTGAGACAGGAGATGAGGGCGGAAACGCTCTCGTGTCCCGAGGGCACCGGGTGTACAGTGGCCAGGTAGAGCTCCACCTGTAGGAGGAACCCCTGACACCCGGCAGCTGTTCCGTCATACGCCCTCGGGAGCGAGAGTCGAATCCCCCTGGGTTCCGGACCTGGGACTGGTGGACCGGCCGATGGGGTTGGCAGGGTAGGTGGAGGTGTGGGTACCCCGCTGGCCTCCCATCGGTGCAAGGTGTTGATTACATCCTGTAGAGCGGTCCCCAGTTGTCTTATCTGGTCATCTTGCCCACGGACATGCTCCTCGAGCGACTCAGGCGTAACTGCAGATCCTGCTGATTCCATTATGGTGTGGGATTCTGTCAAGGGGTGCTGAAGGTGGGTGTGGTGTCTGCCAGACATGCAGAGATGCGATTCGCCACCTGGTTATCAGAAGGGGGAAAGGAGAAGTAGGATATGACAGAGCCAACTGACTTGGTGTATAGCGAGAATAGGAGAGGGCCTAGAACTGAGCCCTGGGGGACACCAGTGGTGAGAGCACGTGGTGCGGAGACAGCTTCTCGCCACGCCACTTGGTAGGAGCGACCGGTCAGGTAGGACGCAATCCAAGAGTGAGCCGCGCCGGAGATTTTATATAAAAAAAAAATAAAAATAAAAAAAACTTGTAAAGTGGTTGTCCCACTGGCTATAAGGTGACTGCACCAATTTGTAAGTCGCTCTGGATAAGAGCGTCTGCTAAATGACGTAAATGTAAATGTAATATCACAGTCATAGTAAGTAAAACTTTTCCTCAATAAAGCAGCTATCAGCAAAGTCAGTGCTAGTTAGGAAAGACAAGTGCAAACTGCTAGGTGTTAGTGGTTGTCTAACTGGGATAGATGTTTCTGAAGAAAGCAGTTGCTAGCAACTGGGCTGAGCTGGCAGGAATCTTGGAAATGTGGAGGTGTTTCTTGGAATGCTTTTGTGGTTAATCTACAGAGTTTCACCAACACAACCAAACATTGGCCAGGCTGACTACATTGCAGACTGACATACCAGCTAACCACATCATATGATATACAGACGTAGCATCTTAATTTGAGGCAGGTTGCTACAGCAGGAAAAGAATCCTGCAGCAACAGGAAATGTAAATTATTATGTGGATTATAATTCATCAACATTTCTGTAGGAGTTGATTATGTTTTTCGTAAGGGAAAATCAAGTCTGAAATTTCATAGGTGAAATTTCAGACCTCAGGTAAGCTCTCCTGCAACAAGATGATCAAATTAAGATCCTACATCTGTAGCAATCGGACGCCCAACAATGCAGCGTCAGCAACGTAGTTGGCCTGGAACCAGTACCTTCCAAGTTTGTTTTTTGCATGTTACGGTGTTTTTGGCTGGTTTATGGAGTGACCAAGTCCAGGCTTAGGCTGTGTCCCAAATGTCAGCCTGTTCTCTTTATAGTACACTGGCACTGCTAGTCATTATCGCCCCACAGAAGGCTCAGACAGATTTTAAAGAGTCATGACCAAGTCAATCTCCTCAAGCACTCCTAATTCCAGGGAGAACCTCACAACACAAGGCTACAGATTCATGTTAGCAAAGCTGGGGTCTTACACACACACACACACACACACACACACACACACACACACACACACACACACACACACACACACACACACACACACACACACACACACACACACACACACACACACACACACACACACACACTCTCACACACTCACACACACACACAAAATCATGTGTAGCTAGATGGGTGATAAATAATCATTTACAGTTTCTAAGAAGAACTCCAACCTCTCAGTATCCTCAACTCTCCGTCTGTAGAGTCCCTCGAGTGAAGCGCTGTCAGCAGCTTGGCCAGTGACTACAGGAAGTGTACATTACAGTGGGACAAGTGCAGTGTTGCTGACAGCGCTTTACTCGAGGGACTCTATAGACGGAGCGTGTTGAAATATTAACGCGTGCTGCGACCTACAGGCCGAGTTCGTCTCGCGTCGCCGGGCGGCCTCGTTGGGAGGAGTTTGCACATTCTAATTTAGACTATTCTATTGGTCCTAGTGTGAAATCTTCAAATTCGCCCACACAGTCAGTCAGACCAAGGAGATATACTGTACTTCAGACATGTGTTGTAAAAACACACCTGAAAACACTAAGGTGCAGTGACTGTTTACCTGTTAACTAGGGCCGGGACGATACCAGTATCGCGATACTCGTTAGGATCGTAGCAAGGAAATAAAACACGAAGCGGATTTAACTTCTTTAGGAAAACAGCCCTAATGTTGGAAACAAACATCATTATGGTTGTCATCCAGAGTCACATGTATTTATTTTCCAAGCTATAGCACACAATATTTACATACAGCAGGTTTTAAAGGACCAAAGAGTTTGGTCCGCTTGGTGTTTTTTATTTCTGCCATGGAAAAAAAAATATTGCGGTGCTGGTATCATCACAGTCATACCGTTAACACCCCGGAAATACTCTGCCAAGTGACTCTGTCTGCACTAACCAATAGGAGTTAGTAGCCTGTCCTTTATCCATCACTGAACCAAATAAATGAATAAGTAGCCACGGTTGATTACTTTAAAACTATTCTTTAACATATGAAGACATTGCAGTGTCTCTACGATAGCTACTGTACAACTAAAGCTTTGTCAGTAGAGGTCAAATGAGGTCAAATGAGCCACTACTTTTAGAGGTTTTTTGTGTTGATGACCTACATTTGGAATACTACTTATTTCATAAAATAAATAAAAAAGCACACAGTACTTTTCTGACCACAGCTTTTCGTGTACAATATATACCAGTGCAGTGTACAGTAGATTATTACGTTCTCATCAAGCGTTTAGCTGAGATTTACTGTAAGGCTCGTGATTATGATTATTATCAGAATGCAATGTGGCTGAGTAACTTAGCACGTAGATGTGGTGGGTTTACATTCCTTTGAAAGTGTTCCATTATGTGTTTTTGTAAGCATGACATTGTTACAGTTTCCTTTGAAAGTGTTCCATTGTTGTGGTATGTTTGCAGCGAGCCCAAGGCTGCCAAGCTCAGCCTGTTCAACAGGAATAATGCCCTGAACGCCTGTATGAAGACAGAGGAGAAGAAAGAGAAGGAGATCCAGTATGAGGATTCCCCGGATGGTGGCTGGGGCTGGATGGTCGTACTTCACTGCTTCCTGGTACAGCTTCTTCTTTCCTCCTCTTTGAGTTTTTGGAGGTTCACCAAATGTTTATCTATTGGACATTTTTCTAGAATTGTTTGATATAATTGTTCATATGTTATACAATAATCTCAGGGTTTGGGTCAATTCCATTTAGATTCCAATAAATTCGTAAAAGTAAACCGAATTCCAATTCCAGCATTGAAGAGAATTGGAATTGCAGTGTACTTCCTGAATTGACTGGAATAGAAAGACAATTGACCCTGACCCCAACCCTGCATTTCGTAGTGTGGCAGATCATGTGCTCACATGTTGGTTTGTCTGTGTGTGCGTCTGCCTGCCTGCGTCCCTCTGTCTGTCTCTGCATCCAGGTGAACATGCTGGTGATGGGGACCCTGAAGAGCTTTGGGATCTTCTTCGTGGCATTCCAGGATGAGTTCGGAGAGTCGGCAGAGCGTATCAGCTGGATCGGCTCTATCATGTCTTGCCTGCGGCTCTCTGGAGGTCAGAGTTCACGTGACATGAAAACACTCAGACTACTACTGTGTGTGTGTGCAGTGTGGTTGTGTGAGGTCAGAGTTCACATAAAAAGTCTGACCACATCACTCGTCCCTCTGGGTCTGGGGGGGTCTGGCTCTTGTGTTGCATCACTGACAACATCTGACGCCTGTCTGTCTTACTAAGAACTTAGTGATTGGATGGATGAATGAACGAATTATGGGACACATTTTCACGTTTGTCTTTTTGTTCCTGTGTTAGGTCCCCTGGCCGCTGTAGCGTGTGCGAAGCTGGGTTACAGATTGACCTCTATAGCTGGGGCTGTGCTGGTCAGTGTTGGCTTCCTCATGAGTATCTTTGCCACCAGCGTGGTGTTCCTCTACATCAGCATGGGGCTGATTGTGGGTAAGTCTTCAGAGTTAAAAGAGGTTAAAAGAGGTTAAAGTGCTACCAGTGCTACAGAGTAGAGTAGGCCTGAGTCCAATATATGTGTAAAATACTTGAAAGGACTTGTCTTTAGGTATCTGATATACTTGAACTGTGTTTTTAATGAAGAAATCTGAATCTATGTCTGAATCTGTGATGATCACAATGTATTTGATCATAAATACACTGCATGACCAAAAGTATGTGGACACCTGCTCGTCAAAAATCTCATTCCAAAATCATGGGCATTAATATGGAGTTGGTCCCCCCCTTTGCTGCTATAACAGCCTCCACTCTTCTGGGAAGGCTTTCCACTAGATGTTGGAACATTGCTGTGGGGACTCGCTTCCATTCAGCCACAAGAGCATTAGTGAGGTCGGCACTGATGTTGGGCGATTAGTCCTGGCTCAGTCAGCGTTCCAATTCATCTCAAAGGTGTTCGATGGGGTTGAGGTCAGGGCTCTGTGCAGGCCAGTCAAGTTCTTCCACACCGATCTCGACAAACCATTTCTGTATGGAGCTCGCTTTGTGCACGGGGGCATTGTCATGCTGAAACAGGAAAGGGCCTTTCCCCAAACTGTTGCCACAAAGTTGGAAGCACAGAATCGTCTAGAATATCATTGTATGCTGTAGCGTTAAGATTTCCCTTCACTGGGACTAAGGGTCCTAGCCCGAACCATGAAAAACAGCCCCAAACCATTATTCCTCCTCCACCAAAATGTACAGTTGGCACTATGCATTCGGGCAGGTAGCGTTCTCCTGGCATCTGCCAAACCCAGATTTGTCCATCAGACTGCCAGATGGTGAAGCGTGATTCATCACTCCAGAGAACGCGTTCCCACTGCTCCAGAGTCCAATGGAGGCGAGCTTTACACCACTTCAGCCAACGCTTGGCATTGCGCATGGTGATCTTAGGCTTGTGCGCGGCTGCTCGGCCTTCAAAACCCATTTCATGAAGCTCCTGACGAACAGTTATTGTGCTGACGTTGCTTCCAGAGGCAGTTTGGAACTCAGTAGTGAGTGTTGCAACCGAGGACAGACGATTTTTACTCACTACGCGCTACAGCACTCGGAAGTCCGGTTCTGTGAGCTTGTGTGGCCTACCATTTCATGGCTGAGCCGTTGTTGCTCTTTCCACTTCACAATAACAGCACTTACCGTTGACCGGGGCAGCTCTAGCGGGGCAGAAATTTAACTAACTGACTTGTTGGAAAGGTGGCATCCTATGATGGTGCCACGTTGAAAGTCACTGAGCTCTTCAGTAAAGCCATTCTACTGCCAATGTTTGTCTATGGATATTGCATGGCTGTGTGCTCAGTGGTATACACCTGTCAGCAACGGGTGTGGCTGAAATAGCCGAATCCACTAATTTGAAGGCGTGTCCACATACTTTTGTATATATAGTGTATATATAGTGTCTATATATAGTGTATATATAGTGTGTGTATATATATATATATATATATATATATATATATATAGTGTATATATAGTGTGTGTATATATATATATATATATATATAGTGTATATATAGTGTGTGTATATATATAGTGTTTATATAGTGTATATATTGCAAAAATCTCTGAAGCTGCAGACTCTTATCTCCCTCACTAACTTTAAGCGTCAGTTGTCAGAGCAGCTTAGCGATCACTGCACCTGTACACAGCCCATCTGTAATTAGCCCACCCAACTACCTCATCCCCATATTGTTATTTATTTTTGCTCTTTTGCACCCCAGTATCTCTATTTGCACATCATCTCTTGCACATCTATCATTCCAGTGTTAATACTAAATTGTAATTATTTTGCACTATGGCCTATTTATTGCCTTACCTCCATAACTTGCTACATTTGCACACACTGTATATATATTTTCTGTTGTATTTTTGACTTTATGTTTTGTTTTACCCCATATGTAACTCTGTGTTGTTGTTTTTATCGCACTGCTTTGCTTTATCTTGGCCAGGTCGCAGTTGTAAATGAGAACTTGTTCTCAACTGGCTTACCTGGTTAAATAAAGATATAAATATATAAATATATAAATATATATATATATATATATATATATATATATATATATATATATATAGTGTATATATAGTGTATATATAGTGTATTTCCTGTATCCCCTCTCAGGTCTTGGTTTTGCGCTCCTGTACCAAGCCACCTCTGTTGTCACGGCAACATATTTCCGTAAGAGGTTAGGGATGGCATACTCCATCGGGCGGTCTGGGATGGGCTTGACCTTCGCCCTCGCCCCCTTCACTCAGCTGCTGCTGGAGCAGTACGCATGGCAAGGTACTGACACACACACACACACACACACACACACACACACACACACACACTACATCTGTTGGGATGTGGAAATTATTTAATGATTCATAATTTCATTATGGGAATATCATAATGCTATTCTAGAATGACCCGTAACACCCCTATGCTCCTCCCATAGGAGCTCTGCTGATCCTGGGAGGCCTGATGTTAAACCTGGTGGCCTCTGGGATGCTGCTAAGACCCATCCACGTGAAGCCTGCACCACCCCCTTCCTCATCTTCATCCATCCAAAAAAGCCCTCTGATAGGTCCAGAGAAGAGCAAGGACCGCCCTCAGAATGGATGCTGCTTTAACGGATCCACACCGTTAACCAATGGCATCGCCAAATCAGACTCTTCTCCTTCCACTCCACCACCCCTGCACTGGGACACTGAGACCCCAGAGAAGGTCTCCACACCTGGGCTTGGTCAGAGCAACTACAGCCCCCCACCACCAAACCCTGAACTGACAAAGCTGGTCCAAAACGGGCATGTTCAGGAGGCATCCCCCACCACGACCACCATAGACAGCCCCAGCCCCATGGAACAGAATGGTACCATTAGCCTAAACGGTCCCGCTGTGTTTGGGTTCTCCTCGCCGAACGGCACCACCACCACCACCGTGGACGACCCCATCCCACCGACCGTGAACAAGAACAGAGTCCTGGACTTCTCCCTGTTGAAGAACCCCTTCTTCTGCATCTACACCTGGTCCGTGGTGTTCAGCCAGCTAGCATACTTTATCCCCTACTTCCACCTGTCTGCCCGGGCCAGGAACCTGGGCATCGGGGCCATGGACGCTTCCTTCATCATCTCTGTGGCAGGTGAGTCTCAGACAGTCGAAACATGATCAACCTTTCCCTGAGACAAGGCTGCAGGGATTAGGACACCATACTGGGCAAGTAGTCAACCCACAGAATCTCTCCTTTTTCACTACATTTCCGCAGTGCAAACAAGCAAGGATGGTGACCAAAAAAGACAACAATCTCTCAGAATACTCATACTTGTACCCTTGATGATTAAACAGTTGAATTTGATTGTACCTTGTTGAATATAGAGTAGCAATAACGCCATCCCTAGTAGACAGGAGTATTGTGTTTGTTGTGAACAAGACACCTATTTGACCTCATGACCAACCAAGGGAGAATAATGGTGTAGATAATGGGGGACATTTTAAAACGCATTTCCTGCAATTCTACACAATTTGACATTAGTCATTATACCTCTCTAGAGGGGTATATGGCAGGGTATATGGACGGGGCTATATGGACGGGGCTATATGGACGGGGCTATATGGACGGGGGCTATATGGACGGGGCTATATGGACGGGGCTATATGGACGGGGGCTATATGGACGGGGCTATATGGACGGGGCTATATGGACGGGGCTATATGGACGGGGGCTATATGGACGGGGCTATATGGACGGGGCTATATGGACGGGGCTATATGGACGGGGCTATATGGACGGGTATTTTGAGGGCTATACGGAGTGCTATATGGAGGGTGTACAGTGCATTCGGTAAGTATTCAGACCCCTTGACTTTTTCCACATTTTGTTACGTTACAGCCTTATTATAAAAATTGATTAAAATATATATCCTCATCAATCTACACACAATTCCCCTTTAATGACAAAGCAAAATAGGTTTTTAGAAATGTTAGCAAAAATACCTTATTTACATAAGAATTCAGACCCTTGAGACTCGAAATTGAGCTCAGGTGCATCCTGTTTCCATTGATCATCCTTGAGATGTTTCTACAACTTGATTGGAGTCCAGCTGTGGTACATTCAATTGATTGGACATGATTTGGAAAGGCATATACCTGTCTATATAAGGTCCCACAGTTGACAGTGCATGTCAGAGCAAAAACCAAGCCATGAGGTCGAAGGAATTGTTCCGAGACAGGATTGTGTCGAGGCACAGATCTGGGGAAGGGTACCAAAACATTTATGCAGCATTGAAGGTCCCCAAGAACACAGTGGCCTCCATCATTCTTAAATGGAAGAAGTTTGGAACCACAAAGACTATTCCTAGAGCTGGCCGCCCGGCCAAACTGAGCAATTGGGGAGGTAACCAATAACCTGATGGTCACTATGACAGAGCTCCAGAGTTCCTCTGTGGAGATGGGAGAACCTTCCAGAAAGACTCTCTCTGCAGCACTCCACCAATCAGGCCTTTATGGTAGAGTGGCCAGACGGAAGCCACTCCTCAGTAAAAAGCACATGACATCCCGCTTGAAGTTTGCCAAAAGGCACATAAAATACTTTCAGACCATGAGAAACAAGATTCTCTGGTCTGATGAAACCAAGATTGAACTCTTTGGCTTGAATGCCAAGCGTCACGTCTAGAGGAAACCTGGCACCATCCCTATGGTGAAGCATGGTGGTGGCAGCATTATGCTGTGGGAATGTTTTTCAGCGGCAGGGAGACTAGTCAGGATCGAGGGAAAGATGGACGGAGCAAACTACAGAGAGATCCTTGATGAAAACCTGCTCCAGAGCGCTCAGGACCTCAGCCAAGACAACGCAGGAGTGGTTTCGGGACAAGTCTCTGAATGTCCTTCAGTGGCCCAGCCAGAGCCTGGACTTGAACCCGATCTAACATCTCTGGAGAGACCTAAAAATAGCTGTGCAGCAACACTCCCCATCCAACCTGACAGAGCTTGAGAGGATCTGCAGAGAAGAATGGGAGAAACTCCCCAAATACAGGTGCCAAGCTTGTAGCGTCATACCCAAGAAGACTTGAGGCTGTAAAGGGTACTGAGTAAAGGGTCTGAATACTTATGTAAATGTGATATTTCCGTTTTTTTGTTTCGTTCTTTATTCTAAAAACCAGTTTTTTCTTTGTCATTATGGGGTATTGTGTGTAGATTGATGAAGAGAAAAAAACAATTTAGTCCATTTTAGAATAAGGCTGTAACGTAACAAACTGTGGAAAAAGTCAAGGGGTCTGAATACTTTCCGAATGCACTGTATGGAGGGGTATTTTAAGGGGTATTTTGAGGGCTATATGGAGGGGTATTTTGAAAACCCAGTGTAAGTGGAAGGATAAGTAACCATCATCATTAAGGTATTTGAAGGCAAATATAACAAATTCACAAAATATGAAGACTGAGTTGCATTATAATGAAGCACACATGCATATTTATTCATATTAAGAAGACACAAAAGATGAAGACTGAGTTTTATTATAGACGACGTGGTGCTGTTTTGGTGCCTTCGTTTTAGCCTGCCAGAGGTGCCGGTTCAGCGCCAGAAGACGACATGGTACTGTTTTGGTGTGTTCGTTTTAGCCTGCCAGAGGTGCCGGGTCAGCGCCAGAAGACGACATGGTACTGTTTTGGTGCGTTCGTCTTAGCCTGCCAGAGGTGCCGGGTCAGCGCCAGAAGACGACGTGGTACTGTTTTGGTGTGTTCGTTTTAGCCTGCCAGAGGTGCCGGGTCAGTTTTCATCTCATAATTTTTTTTTATTCCAGCCAACGGGAAAACCAGAACAGGCTTTCCATCTTTGTCCTCTTCAAGTCTGACCCAGATTGACAGCGCTCTGACCCAATGAGAATGGAGGGATAACCAAGGGTGGCCAATCATATTTCAGGGGAGGCTGGTGCCACTTCGGGCCCTCACCCTCCTCTCCTCGTACCGCCCCTGACTGAAATTAGTTGGGGAGGAGCGCGAATAGACAGAGTCTATAGACCTGCTGCTGAGCGGAGGAGACGCAGTGCGTCCGAACAGGGCCGGACTAACGCATTTGGGACCCCGGGGGACTTACCCCCAACCAAACAGCTAAATTCCTGCATTTCAACACATTTTGCCATGGGGCAGGGAGAAAGTTTTGTAGTTTGATAATGCTGTTCTACACATTTTGTCATGAGGCTGAGAGAAAATGTAGCAGTTTTAAAGCAAATTTCCTGCAATTCTACACATTTTGCCATGGGGCAGAGAGAGAAATGGACTGTTTTATAGCCCATCTCATGCTATTCTTCACATTTTGCCATGAGGATGATATAACATTTTGCCATTTTAAAGCAAATTCTCTGCAATTCTACACATTTTGCCTTTTCTTATGATGTGTTCAAATGCTATCTGGGGAGGCCCCCGCCCTTAAATCAGTTATTGTGGGGGACGAATCGACTTGTTCTGAATATTGGGGGTGGGGATACAGTGCCTTGCAAAAGTATTCATCCCCCTTGGCGTTTTTCCTATTTTGTTGCATTACAACCTGTTATTTAAATGGATTTTTATTTGGATTTCATGTAATGGACATACACAAAATAGTCCAAATTGGTGAAGTGAAATGAAAAAAAGAACTTGTTTCAAAAAATTATACAAAATAAATAACGGAAAAGTGGTGCGTGCATATGTATTCACCCCCTTTGCTATGAAGCCCCTAAATAAGATCTGGTGCAACCAATTACCTTCAGAAGTCACATAATTAGTTAAATAAAGTCCACGTGTGGAATCTAAGTGTCACATGATCTGTCACATGATCTCAGTATATATACACCTGTTCTGAAAGGCCCCAGAGTCTGCAACACCACTAGGCAAGGGGCACCACCAAGCACCATGAAGACAAAGGAGCTCTCCAAACAGGTCCGGGACAAAGTTGTGAAGAAGTACAGATCAGGGTTGGATTATAAAAAAATATCAGAAACTTTGAACATCCCACGGAGCACCATTGAATCCATTATAAAAAAATGGAAAGAATATGGCACCACAACAAACCTGCCAAGAGAGGGCCGCCCACCAAAACTCACGGACCAGGCAAGGAGGGCATTAATCAGAGAGGCAACAAAGAGACCAAAGATAACCCTGAAGGAGCTGCAAAGCTCCACAGCGGAGATTGGAGTGTCTGTCCATAGGACCACTTTAAGCCGTACACACCACAGAGCTGGGCTTTACGGAAGAGTGGCCAGAAAAAAGCCATTGCTTAAAGAAAAAAATAAGCAAACATGTTTGGTGTTCGCCAAAAGGCATGTGGAAGAGTCCCCAAACATATGGAAGAAGGTACTCTGGTCAGATGAGACTAAAATTGAGCTTTTTGGCCATCAAGGAAAACGCTATGTTTGGCGCAAACCCAACATCTCTCATCACCCCGAGAACACTATCCCCACAGTGAAGCATGGTGTTGGCAGCATCATGCTGTGGGGATGTTTTTCATCAGCAGGGACTGGGAAACTGGTCAGAATTGAAGGAATGATGGATGGCGCTAAATACAGGGGAAATTCTTGAGGGAAACCTGTTTCAGTCTTCCAGAGATTTGAGACTGAGGTTCACCTTCCAGCAGGACAAAGACCCTAAGCATACTGCTAAAGCAACACTTGAGTGGTTTAAGGGGAAACATTTAAATGTCTTGGAATGGCCTAGTCTAAGCCCAGACCTCAATGCAATTGAGAATCTGTGGTATGACTTAAAGATTGCTGTACACCAGCGGAACCAATCCAACTTGAAGGAGCTGGAGCAGTTTTGCCTTGAAGAATGGGCAAAAATCCCAGTGGCTAGATGTGCCAAGCTTATAGAGACATACCCCAAGAGACTTGCAGCTGTAATTGCTGCAAAATGTGGCTTTACAAAGTATTGACTGGGGGGTTGAATAGTTACGCACACTCAAGTTTTCTGTTTTTTTTGTTTTATTTCTTGTTTGTTTGAAAATAAAAAATATTTTGCATCTTCAAAGTGGTAGACATGTTGTATAAATCAAATGATACAAACTCCCAAAAAAATCCATTTTAATTCCAGGTTGTAAGGCGACAAAATAGGAAAAATGCCAAGGGGGGGTGAATACTTTCACAAGCCACTGTATGTCCCCCCATCCCCCCCATGTGACCAACAGACCATGACTGACAAAG